GGGATCTGGTCCCTGTCCTCAGGGAGCTCCGCCCCAGCTGCTGGTCCTCTTGCATTTAAACCCTGAATGTCCAGGCCACCCCAGTAGCCAGTGGCCCTGCAGAGAGGCTGCCTCTCTTGCTCTATCAGTGAGCAGGGAGTGGGGCAGAAAAATCCTCTGGCACTGGCTTTGGTTTCATTATTTGACGGTTTTCAGGGATTCTACTTCCAGTGTCACTACCTGTTCTTTTGCCTCCACGGGTCTCTTCCTGACTTCCCGTGGATGCATCCTTCATCACCAGACAGACAGGGGACTGGAGGAATGCTTCCCACGGATGCAGCTGAGCAAGAGTCCACGGCACCGTTTCCTCTCTCTTGTCTATGTCACACCACTGGGGGCCATGGGCACCACAGAATAAGTGTAAAGACCCTTGTCAGGGACTAAGGATTGTCCTAGGATTTGGGTCCCTGCTGGAGCATCAGGGGTACACTTGGAGGCACAGACCCCAGACTTTTATTTTTCTTTCTTTGTCTTTCGGAGCAGGGTTTCACTATGCAGTTCAGGCAGGCTTCCAACTCCTTTTGTAGCTCAGGCTGGCCTCCAACTCATGGCAATCCTTCTGCCTCCGCACACCAAGTGCTGGGATTACAGGCATGCCATCACACCTGGCCTGGACCCCAGAACTTATCCATAGTATCTTGTGTGTACAGGAATGGAGAGGGGTTGTCGTTGTCCATGGTTTTGATGTGAAAGGAAGTGGGGTATTCCCTGGACATGGTAAGAACCAGTGTCTTCCACAGTCTCTCAGGAGGTATCTCAGGCTTGGGGTGATCATGTATGGTACAGCCTCTCCTGCAAGCTTCGCAAAGGCTGGGACAGCCCTTGGCAGCCTTTATAAAGCATGGCACCTATGTCCTTCAGTTACAGTAACAGAGGGCGGCAAAGCCCAGGAGTGAGCCCAAGCTATGGATTAGGCGAGCTTGTTGCTGATAGGGTGCTTCTGCCTGTCAATCAGAAGCACTATGGCTATGGCCCCACCCCTGCTCCTCCATTGCTCCCAGCTTGAGGCTGCCACCACCCTGAGGTCACAGCACTGGCTGTGGAAAGACCCCCTGCTCCAAACCACCTTCCTTACCGTACAGTTCATGGCAGCCCTTCCTTTTAATGTTTATGATTCTATTTTATGGATTTTTATTGTAAAATGCACATAATATAAAATGAACCATTTTAACCGTTGCTAAGCATACAGTTCACTGGCATTAAGTACAGGCCTAGTGTCAGTCCTGACACCACTGCCCATCTCCAGAGCCTCCATCTGCTCAAACGGAACTCTGTCCCCACTAACCCACACACTCCTCACTCCCTGTCCCCCCAGCTCCTGGCAGCCCCATCCAACTTTCCATCTCTTTCCAGGCATCTTAGGATCGCACTTGTGCTTCTGTGACTGGCGTATTTCACTGTGTGATGTCCCACGTGGCACATGACAGAATGTCTTTTCTTTTGAAAGCTGAGTAATATTCCACTGTCTGGAAGGATACCAGTCTGCTAATCTGCTCGTTCCTCAGTGGACACTGGGCTGTGCCTACCTTTTGGCTCTTGCATGTAATGCTGCCCTGAACACTGGTGCACAAATGTCCTCTGCTTTGAGCCCCTGCCCCAACCCTTGTCTGTGCCCGGAAGTGGCCTGCTGCTTTGTAAGGTAACTCTGTGGTTAATTCCTCCTGGACCAGCCACACCGTTGCTCTTAGAGGTTGCAGTGTTCCGCTCTCCCATCACTAATATGGTGTGGCTGGCACTTGCTTTCTCTGCCTGCCTCTCACGGACTTTAATAAACGCACATTTTCATTTCTCCAAAATCAGGATGCACTGTGCCTCGCGATTAACCACAGGTCTTTGTCTTAGTTCCGCACCACCTTTCCTTTTTTTCTTACTGGTCCATAAAATAGTGGTGCTCCTAACAACCATGGCAAAACCGGTCCCAGGTGGGCATGGTGCTGGAAAGACTGGCTGAGCCGGGTGGACCTGGGGAGACCTCGGTCCCTGCTGGGTGGTGAGGGCTCTCACTTTCTCTGGAGGCTGCAGCTCCCTCACGCCCCTCTGGAGTGGGCACTGTCCAGAGCACCGCACTCTGCTGTGACCTGTGACCCTCGCAGGCTGCTCACAGGTCTCTGCCCCTCACCCTCCCACCTGCAGACTGTCTCCTCTCCCCACTTACTCCAGAATCTGCCAGCTCACCTGGCTCCACCTACTCCAGGACAGCTGCCACCAAACCATTTCCTCCCTTGCCGGCCCTGCCCAATGCCACAGTTCACCCTGGCTGTCACCTTTTGAGAATTTCCTGCAACTTCTATTTTTTCTCCTTTCACCCCTTTATCTGTTTTTCTCTGCCTCCTGTCCCCATCACCCAGCTGGAAGGCTGCTCTTTCTGGCTTCCTCCTGAAATCCCCGCGTGATCCCCTCCCATCCTAGCCCCGCCCCACTCCCTTCCCCCAACCTCATCTGCCCTGGCTGGATTTGGGGCGTGGGGTAGGGGAGCCCCTCCGATACCATCAGGGTCTCCCAGTCCACACGGGGAGCATCGCAGGTTTCCTTGTAATGCAGGGAAGGGGAGCCTAGCAGGTGGCCCCCCCCCAGGCCAGGCAGCAGCAGGTCATGTCTCAGGCAGCTCCCTTTGAAGGGGGAACACTAGGGGCAGCAGTGAGGGCACCTGCTGGGGCCTCCCCAAGCTGCTTCTGCATAGTGGAAGCCCTGGGAGCCCTGGCTGGCCCACACCCTTCACATGATGGAGGGAACACCCCAGCTTGTGTCCAGGAGAGAGCTGTTGCTCGGGGACTGAAAAGTCCATGTTTCCTTCTGCATGCTCAGATGCAGGTGGCTAGTGTGCCGGCCCCAGGGCAGTCTCCCACCCTTCGTCCATAGAGTATGGACCTCTGCCTACAGGAGCCTCTCGTCTTTGCCTGCTCTGCCAGCCAGACACCACCACACCTGGCAAGAGGGGCATCAGGGCTGTTTCTGTTTGCCAAGCTGTCCTGACTTTCTCCTTCACTGGCTGGCCTGTCCTTAAGTTGTCCCGAGTCTCAGCTCAGGAGTTTCCATGCTGCTTCCTGCAAGAAGTCTTCCTGGATTTCAAGCTGTCTTCCCCTGCTCATGTCACAGCCTGTGCAGAGGACACACATTCAGTATGTCCACGTGACACTGGGGACTTGATGGTCTGGAGAACACAGTGGAGCTATCGTGAAGGTGATTCTGAGAAACATAGTAGAGTCAGAAGTCACAGCAACGTAAGGCACGTGGCAGTGCTGGGGGCACGGTGACGCTGTCGGTGGCAATGATGCTGGGGTAGTGTGTGGCTTCTCTCTGGGTGACTGTGGTCCCAGAAAAGAGTTCGTGCTCACAAGCAAAAGGAGCTGAGCCTTTGCGGGGTATTCGTGGGGGGCTAATGAGAGCGGCTTACAGGGATTAGTTGGGAGGGAGGAGGTGGGCAAAGCTAATTATGAAGCAGGGCAGAGACAAGAGAGGATTATGAGGCCTTTTTGCGCACTTCATTTTGAAAATGAGAGAAAGGCTCCTTCCTTTCGTGTGAACAGGGCCCGAGGAAAGGAGAGGTAAGAAGGGGATATGGCCTGGCTGGTGTGAGCAGGTGGCAGCGGTGGTGAGATGGAGGCTCTGTAAGGCTCTGGTCCCCCAAAGCTGCAGGACTCCTCATCTGGCTGTAGCTGTTGGGTGCCAGCTTCCAGACAGCCCACCTCTGACGGGAGCCCCTGTGAGGTGCATTTGATCTTAGCCTGCCTGTATTTCCCCAGCCCTGCCCTGCTCCAAACACAGGTCTGGGCACCTTGGGAGGACAGGCCCCACCTCCCAGGCCTCAGCAGCTAGGGACCCAAAAGGACACAGCTTGATGGCAAAACCACACCAAAAATGCATGCTCTCTGGGCATGAAGGGTTGGGGATGGCTCCACCTGCAGGGCCCAGGATGGGCTGCTATGCAGGAGGGCTACGGAGCCACATAGTGGGGCAGGGGTGACGCTGGTGGAGGAGACATGGGGACCAGCAGGAGAAGCCCCTTGATTGTGGATGAAGGCTGGGGCTTCCTCTACAGATTCCAGAGCTTTCAGAGACAAGAAGTATCCCAGGGAAGCTGGTGGGTGTCTGCAGGGGCAGAGCAGAGTACAGAGCCTGGAGTGGCAAAGCTGTGCGGTGGCGCCACAGGATCCTTTGGGGTGCCAGTGCTGGGGAAGCAGGGCGATTGAACCTGAGCCTCCCACAGCCGGTTAGTGTGTCCAGTGAAGCTGAGACACGCACTCTTAAGGCTCATCCTGCATCATGTCAAGACTTCGGGGGGTCCGAGGTCAGTACTTTCCTTCCCAGGGTGAGAATGAAGGAAACACCAACAGGATGCCACAGGCATGCCCTCTGGGTGCCAGACCCACAGTGCCACGTGCCCTGGAAGGGTCTGGGACTGCACTTCTGTCTTCGCCCACCTGGAAGTTAGAAAGAAAGATGAAGCCGGGAGGCTAGGGTCCTCCAGGCCACCGGAGAGGCCTCAGCAGGTGCCCCGGGTCCCTGACTTCTTGTCCAGTACTTGTCCGGTGTTTATGGTCTTTGTGTTGTCCACCCACCTCTTTGGGAGAGAAATCACTGATGTATTCAGAGGAGGTCAGTGCTGGCCACAAAGGGTAAGAGAACTAGCAGGCGGAAGGAAAGCGCAGAGTTGAGGCCTCACTTCGTGTTGGTGCTTTTTAATACACAAACTCACTAATGATTAGAACCACTGCAGAGTGAAGGTGACTATTCTTCAGATGACAGTGTGGATTATATCATTGCTCTCCTGGGTTATGTGTCGGAAGTAGTGAGATTGGGGTTTGGACTCACATCTGTCCAAGGCCAACCCTTTGCCCTTTCACCAAGCTGCCTCTGTATGATTCAGTGTGGTCCATGTGGGGTGGCAGGAAGGGAGGGGAGAGGTAGAGAATGTGAATCTGGGAGCAGTCCCTGACCTCGCTCTCCCATTGCACTTGCAGCTGCTAGGGCCTTGGCGTCATGAACGGCGACCTGAGGGAGGTCCAGGCCCCCAGCCACCGTGAGTGCCTCTTACCCTCTGTGGCTCACACTCCCTCCGTCACCCAGGTCACACCGGCCAAGAAGGTAACCTTCCTCAAGCGAGGGGACCCTCGGTTTGCTGGAGTGCGCCTGGCTGTCCACCGACGGGCCTTCAAGACCTTCAGTGCCCTGATGGACGAGCTCTCCCAGCGCGTGCCTCTGTCCTTTGGGGTGCGCTCTGTCACCACGCCCCGGGGGCTGCACGGCCTCAGCGCCCTGGAGCAGCTGCAGGATGGTGGCTGCTACCTCTGCTCTGATAGGAAGCTCCCCAAGACCTCTAGGGGACCAGGCCAGCTGCAGGCCAGAAGCCCCTCTGCTGTGCAGTCACAGGATGCAGAAGGTGGGTGTGAGGCACCAGGGACATCATCTTCCTGCAAGGGACCTGCAGCCCCGAGAAGGGTAACTCTGATTAGGAATGGGGCCACTGGACACCAGCAGATGCTGCTTCTCAGCTACAGAGATGCCAGGAGCCGGACAGCCTTCCTCAGCCGGGCCTCAGACCTTCTGGGCTTTCCCGTGAAGCAGCTGTACACAATCAGTGGGCGAAAGGTAGGAAGGGTGTCTGGACCTCCTTAAACAAGGCCCCTGCAGCCAGGTGTGGTGGTGCATGCCTAGGATCCCGGCACTCCCGGAAGCTGAGGCAGGTGGATCACAAGTTCAAGCCCAGTCTGTGTAAGCTAGTGGCAAGACCCTGTCTCAAACAAACCAACCAACATGCACATTGGCTGAGAATGTAGCTGAGGCAAGAAGGCTCTGGGTTCAATCCCCAGTCTCTCGCACACACACATACACAAACGGAGATGGAAAGGGAGGTTATTCTTGATTGCCTTGCTATTAGTTAAAGATATAGAGGGCAGCGACATCCAGTCAGGTCAATTAATCCAACAGGCAATTGCTACCTACGTTTCCAGTTTCTATTTGGTGCACTTAGTAGGTGCAGCCTATTCCTGTAGGAGGTCAGTGTAGCAAACAGAAACCACTCCAGATCCCTTAAGCAGAGTGCCAATCCCTGCAAAGCTGGAGCCTGAACCCAAAGTCTGGTCCACAAGGGTGGCCCAGCCACCTATGCTGCAAGTGACAATGAGCGCTGAGCTGGAGAACACTTCCGGAGGGAGAGGGCAGCAGCCTGTGCTCCGGTGCTGAGCTCACAGCCTCTGTTGCATCTTGGCTCTCAGGGTCACTAGGGACCATGTGTGCTGCTGATACCTTCTCTGCCATCGCCTCCTGTGTCCCACAGGATCACCTCCCACAGCATCCAGGAACAGGAAGAAATGGTGCTAGCTTGGCTTGGCATCTAGTTGAGGGAGAATCCAACCTGCATCCAGCCCTAACTGTACAGAAGGCCTGTGAATGGAATTTTTGCCTTTCTAGAGTCTGCAGAGCATGAATTTCTATCAAAAGAAGACACAATGCTGCACAGAAGTTGGCTGACCTAATTCAGTCTTCCCACAGTTGAATCCTACAGCGCCTCGGCTCCTTGTCTCTGACCACTGACCAGCACTTCCATCTGCACACATGGCTGAGCAAGGCGCCTGCCACCCAGAATGTAGCTCTCCCTCCTGCCATCAGCACCATGTTGACACTCTCTCCCAAGCCACACCAGCTTTGTACCAGCTGTCACAATCCCAACCTGATGTCTTCTAGTTTAAGATCTATCAGTGCCCACAGCTATCAAAATACCTTATATAAAGTTGCTATGAAATCAAGAGCAAAAATTAGGAAATCGGGGGAAATATGATTAAAAGAGGGTGCACCTGGCAGAGCTGTGGGGCTGACTCCATAATCTCCCCCAGGGCTGCTGTCAAGGTTCCGTCTGCCATCCGACCCTCCTGCCTCCTGCTTTCCACCAGCACCTTGGCAGGCTGTGGCTCTGAGCATGGTGGCGGGGTCCAGCCGTAACCCTGGACAACTGAGCCCCTGCAGAGATTAACATGCCACTACACACAGAGGCTGGAAGCCCCAGCAGGTTCCCTGAGAAACTGCAACTCCACCTTCCCCATCGCCCTCAACACAACCCGTCTTGCTGCCTTCGGGCTGATGGCGTGAGGGGCTCAGCACGGCCAGGTGCTGTCTCCTGGTCCTGAGCCCTCCCAACCGGCAGAGCCCATAGCTCATGGATGGGAAGCAAAATGCTCGCAGCTAGGAAGGCCATGCTGAGAGGAGCCCCTTTCACTTCAGGCCCTTAATTCTTATCATCTCCTGTAGGATAACATCTCAGAATCCTCCCTAGAGAGATGCCTGCCGGTGGTTCCCAGCAGGGCCCCCCAGGGGATATTTCCACTGTTGTGGAAGTTCCAGCTGTTTTGGGGTAATGAGGTACATAGCGATGGGTGTCAGCCCACTGGCTCACATCCTCTACTATAAAATCAGTTCTTTGTACAGAAGTGAGCTTCATGGGATATGCAGTGATAAACCGGGGTTAGTAGGTGGACAGGCGGTGATAAAGGATGAACTGTGTGCAAGGAACAGAGTCTGCATCCAAAATGAGTGTCTGTCTCAGTGAATACGAGTTGCCTACTGTCTCCTTGATGCAGGGTTCTGGGTCAGTAGCTCCCCACCAGGTGGCTGGCTGTGTCCCTCAGGCAGGATTCCAATCACGAGTTTAGGGTTAGTCTTGGCAGCTCAGGCCCCGAGGAGACCCAACAGGCAGGTCCACGGGAATGGGGTGGAGTCCACACTGCTGGTTCATGCAGCCTTGCCACCCCGTGTGTTGACTGAACCTGCTCCAGGGCAGCTGAGGAATGTATGTGAGTGTCATCCAGAGTGTTCCTGTCTGCTGAGCGCTCCCATCGGTCATCATCTGGACCTTTCACCATGAGGAATCCTTTCACCCATGGTTCTCCAGGTTGCCTTATCATCCAGTCCTTCAAGTCCAGAATTGTCAGACTGAGCCATTGCCCACCACCCATAAATGACTGCAGGACATCATGCCTTCATTCCCTCCAAAAAAGCAGTCAACACAATCACACTCTCCCTGGATTTTATTTCTCTGCCACCTTTCATGGTTCCTGAATGAGTCCTTTCTGCCTATGCCGCCATGGCCAACTTTGGATCACATCAGCAGAATTGGCAGTCTTCTGTGACCCAGATTCCAATGTGTTCTTTGGTCAGCTGACCCAGGGAATTCCCCAGGAAGCCACAGGTGTGTGCTGAGGACAGGCAGCCACACAACAGGTGCAGGTGAACTGGGAGCAGGTGCCACACCACCTGCTCAGCAATTTACTCATGGTTCAGTGCAAACTTCATGAGCCTGACCCAGTGTGTCACCCCCACCTGATGACGGAGTGCTTGCCACACAGGTATTATGGCTTCATGGACCATATAACGCCCGCTCAACTGTAGCCCAGCACCAGCCAAGTCAGTTTCTGCACCTGAGTCTTAGTTATATTGCTCAACAGATCCTTCAGCTGCGGAAGCTCTGAGTCCCCAGCTGTCCTTGAATGGAGAATTCAGACTTGGCTGCCACTTTTAAGGTTAGAAGCAGCCAACCCAGCACTTAGTCCTTGTGGTTCTCATCCACATTGTCATAGTCCACTGTAGCAGCTGGTGGGAGCCAAAGTCCATTCAAGGCAACCACTGAAGAACCTACTTTGTCGCTGTGAGCCATGGAGTACCTGTGTCCCATTGACGCTAGTTCATCACCAGCTTCAGTCCCAACTTCAGCCCCATCGTGAAGGTCTGCTACCTGCAGTCCCCTTTGACTGTGCACACTGTCCCTTGCATGGTGCAGCGCTGGAAGCAGGGTCCTCTCTCAGTATCTAATGCAGACAGGAATTCTGCACAGACAGCTTTGATGCTTCAAGATTCACTGAAAGGCTGGGGGAGCAGAGGCTGGGTTCCTAGGAAAGAACATTCCTAGAATACCTCTGAAATAACCCATCACAGCAACACCTCAGGAAAGAAGACAGCCTGTGGGTGATTACCACTGGAATGAGTGGGTTCGGTACCACCCTAACTATGCTGTAGTCTGGCATGGGGAGGCTGATGTATACAACTGTCTGTTGACACCCGGAAGCTGATAGAACAATGAGCATGGCTTTTGCTGTGAATACTTCTCTGCACTTTGACTTTTTTTTTGCTTGTGGCAACGGTGAAAAAGCAAAAGAAATGGCCTTTGCTTCATTGCCATGTCCCTGTCTTAAGCAAATGTGTTCAATTAGTGAGGCCTGTTTCATCCTGAGATTCTTGGCTGCAAGGGGGCTGGGGAAATGGATTTCCGGCCTCATAAGCCGTGCATTACTGGAAAGCACCCAGAAAAAAGGTGCCTGAAAAGTGGACCAGTCTAGAGGGCAGCATCTGCCACACAAGCTCTGAGTACAACCAGTATTATTACTGCCCCTAGCTAGGTTAGAAGAGTGGGGCGTAGACTTAAGTAATTTTCCCACGTTTGCATAGTTAGAAAATGATGGTGCCACCATCAATAACGCAGAAATGCTGTTGAATTATGGAGCATTTCCAGGCACTAGCTCGTACTACGTGGAGTATTCAGAGTAAGGCTGGGTCCCCGTCTCTGGTTAGCTCGCAGTTCAGGAGGCTTGGTGAAGGGAGACCTGTCGCAGAATAAGGTAACAGGAGGAAAAGCTGTTGGGACATTTTCACCTAGACTCACTGCAAGGCTTTTGGAATTTCTGTGAAAATGATCTTATTGCTCCCCAGAGAGAACTGAGCCATAGCTGTTAATTTGGGGTCCTCTCCTGGATGGACGCTTGATCATGCTCTCTTTCTCCCCATAGGTCACGTGTTTCTGGGATGGGTTTGCTGTTTAGGCACCAGCTCTGTCCTCCTCCCTGGGGAGTCCAATTCCCTGGAAGCGTGGCTGCCTCTCTCCTTTGATAGACTCAGGTCATGTCCGTATTTGTAAGACGGATTAGAAATCCGAATCAAAGGAGACATGCATCTAGAAGCTGAAAACACACTTCTAATTAACTGAGCTGAAAGGTCTGGGAGTGCAACAAATGTCGTGTCAGGAGGAGGAGGTGTTAGAGTTCCCTCCTTCGTTTCCTTGTGACTGAAAAAGAACATATTCTGTCCTTCAAAGATGGAACCAAATCCCCAGCGCTGCTCGTTACCGGGTGATGTTACTGTAGCAACAGTGTAAATCCTCCCACATGTAGGGGGAGGTTTCCCTAAGCACTGGGGTCATTCGGGAGTGGCCAGGGACACATCCTGCTGCTGAGTGCTGGGGTGAATAGGTGGTAGGACCCAGACACCACTGTAGGAAGTCAGGAAGGGAAGGAGAGCAGAGCTTCATTCTGTGAGGTTAGGGGCAGAGGCAAGGGCTGTACCAAAATCCTGGCCAGAATGGAGAGTGGGCCTGGGAAAAGCCCGGTGCAGAGGGTCAGTCTACCCTGCAGGCTGGGGCTGTTGGTGTGGCAGCATCAGAAAGAACACACTCTGCGGGGTGGACATGTGGGCCTGGAGCTCTCCAACCTCTTCTCTCTCCAGGGTGAGCTGCAGCACAGGCTCCCAACTGGAGAGATCGTGGAAGAGGTGTCCAGCTAGGGATGGAGGCGTCATGGGCAGAGACGGCAGAAGTCCAGAAGGGCTGTAGCTATTGAGTTCCTCCCCTGGGTCCTGACTGCACCTTGCTGTCCGCAGGTGGACCCTCTGCAGGTGCTGCTGCATGGCCCCTCCGTGCTGGTGTGTGCTGGAAATGAGGCCTTTAGACCCCCTGCAATGGACAGCGCCCAGAGAGGCGGAACTGAAGCTTTATCCTCGCTGACTTCTAGCAGCAAGAACGGTGAGTTGGTCTGGGGTTTCCCCATCTGATATGCTTGGGTTGGAGAGTCCGTACGAGTGGGCAGGTGTCCTGTACAATTCAGGAAAGGGGCCTTTGGCCCCAGGTCCTCAGGATCCAGTCATTCTGGGATCCCTCTTGCCTCCTCCTCACCACCATCAGTCTTCCCTGAGCTATGAGAGGACAGAGCACAGTGTTTGGAGGTGTCAGGAGCTAGAGAGTCTTGAGTTCAGCATTTCTAGGGTGTACACTCACCTCCATGGAGAAGCACAGAAGGCAGAGCTCTGAGCGCACGGTGGTCACAGCTGCCTCCATGAGTCCTGCTCAGCCTAGCTCAGGAGAGCACCTATGACCCACAGCCTGCCAAGTCTGCTTCCTTCTGTCCCCAGAGAGCCTGTCTGCTCTTCCTTCTGATTAGAGTACAGTGCAAGCTCTCGGGACCTGACACTGTGATTTCAGGCCCTTCCCAAGGATCGTTTAACAGCTCCCTTGGGTGCTCCATCATGAGGAACCAGCTCAGTCAGGCCTTCAGAGGAAGTGGCTGGTGGGGAGCCCACTTCCACCCAGACTCCCTATCTGAGCAGCAATCTGTCTGCTTGTGGAAGCATGTGATTTATCTGTGTGGTAAGATATGGTCCAAAGCAAACCTACAGCTGAGCATGCAGTCAGTCAGAGCATTCTGGGAGGCTGAGGCAGAAGGATCAAGAGTTTGAGTCTAACTTGGGCATTTTAAACTCAGTGAGACCTAGTCTCAAAAAAATAAAATAAAATAAAATGGCTAGGATGTAGCTTAGTGCAAAGGCACTGAATTCAATCCCCAAATACTGTCTGGAAAAAAAAATGAAAGAAAAGCAAGCCTACTAAACTGGTAGTACACTTCTACAGTTAAGGAGCCTCTGCCCAAGTGTTCCCAGCTCTGGGGACATCCCTTCTAGGCCAGTCATCCCGGCCATGCAGCCAGACACAGTGAGGACGGGACATGGGGCACGGAGGTGGTGGGAGGCTTCCAATCGCTGTCCTTTGCACCCTGATTCTGCTTGGTGGCTCACTCTCTCCTCCTCTTCTCTTCCTCCTTCCTGTGCATCAGGTTGCTGGGGGCCCAAGGCCAAGCCAAGCGTGATCCACCCCAGATCCAGGTCAGGCAGCCGGCTGCCGAGGTCCTTATCATCAGCAAGGTCTGGGCTCAATGAGCCCCCCACATCCCTGCCTCGTGCCTGGATGGGGGCCTCCCTGCCTGGCCCCTTAGTGACAAGTGACAACGTGGAGAAGCAGGTCCACATGAATGAGGATGGCAGCCTGTCCGTGGAGATGAGAGTCCGCCTCCACCTCCTGGGTGAGGATGCCATGCTGTGGTCCCAGAGGGTGGGGCAGGCCAGCGGAGAGGGCCCCAGCCTGAAGGAAGTGGACCCCAACTGCTGCAGATGGGAGGGCCACTCTTGGGACAGCCTGGAGCCGGGAGGCAAGGGCCCAGGTCTCTGCAAGGCAGGGTGCCGTCGAGCTTTTGAGGGACCCCGGTCCAGCTTCGAGATCTGGAGAAACCCTCTGTGTGCTCCCCTGGATGTGAAGCCTGCACCTTGGAGAAGGCCCGATTGGGGCCAGAGCAAGAAGAGATGCGGTAAGGACTATAGCAGCCCAGCCTCTAGTGCTGAGCGCCCAGGAGGCTCCGATTCAGACTCCTGCAGCCCCAGGACCCCAGAGGGCCATGCGGACAGTGACAGCCCAAGTCCAGCCTCTGAGGCTGCTTCCTTCAGCTGGGCTGAGCAAGCAGGTGGGGAGGCCCGGTGCCCTGAGGGAGCACAGCCACCAGGCTGGGAGCAACAGACCTACCAGGCACCTGGGACCCGAGCTGTGGAAAGGGCCCTTTTGGACTCTTCAGCCAGTGCCAGGTCCCACAAGGAGTCTAGCAAGTGGGAAGGCCAGCAGTGGGGCGGCCTGGGCCGGGAGAGGACAGGGACCTCCCAGCTGAAGGCCACCCTTGGTGACAATCCCTGTTGCCTGTCTCTGAACAACGAGGACCCACAGCCAGAGAAGTGTGGACAGGATGCTGGGTGCCCTGAGGCCATGGATGGGCCTGTGACAACACTGCCCTTGGCTCAGGGGTCGGCTGGCTCCCAGGATGCTGAGGGACTCTCCCTGCGTCTTCCTGCCTGTGCTCTGGCCCTGCGGAGGAGGAGAAGGCAGCAGAGCCCAGGGAGTACCACATCCTCCTCCTGCACTCCTGTCCTCCAGCAGGCGACCCAGAGAAGCCACACCAGGCTGTGTCTCCACTGCGGGGACCCTCACTGCCCCACAGACTCCCCCGAACCCCCGCCAGCACCAAGGCCCCCGGACAGAAGAAGCACTAGCCCAGGGGGGCCAGTGCCACGATCTTCTCCCAAGTCATCCAGCAGCAGCAGACAGGTCTCTGGGAACCAGGGGGCACTCCCCTGCTCCCCTGCCCCACAGGCTGCCATCGCCCCCGTGAGTAGCTCAGATGGGGCTTCTGATTTCTATCACCCCAGGGCCTGCTCTGCAGAGCCAGCAGGGGACACTGAGGGCAGAGTGCACCCCTCATGGCCAACACCCACCCACACATCAGGGGCTGGAGGCCTGGGGGATGAGACTGGCAGCACCTCCAGGCCCTCGCCGCCCTTGTCTCTGCAGGCTGGATGGCCCGAGGGAGAGGAACCCGGAGCTCACCACAGTGGCCCCAGCTCACAGACTGGGGTGTGCCCTGTCCTGAGGACCCCCAGTGATCACACTGAGGCCTGCTGGGCCAGCAGTGGATACTGTCCCACACCCCCCCAAGGGCGGCCCTGTACCATGAGGCACCCTTCAAACCACAGTGGTCACCAAAGGACTGGTGACGAGGGGCCCAGAGCTAGTGAGACAGGGGAAGAAACACTCCAAGTGGGGCACATGCTGGCCCCAAGCCCTCAATCAGGGACAATGGGCAGCACAGCCAGGGAAGCAGGAAGGAGCCCCAGTCCTGCTGCCGGGGCAGGCACTGAGGAGCCACGGGAAGACGGCGGTATGACACCCAGTGCACTGCCCCATGCCTCTCCGGATGCAGTGGTCCGTGAATGGCTTGACAACATCCCAGAGGAGCCCGTTCTCCTGGGATACGGGATGGTGGATGAGGCCACACCTGTGTCCCATGACAGCCTGGGAAGTACTGAGGAGGACGCTGGAGACACCAGACAGCAGGTCCCAGAAGGGGACCCTGATGAGCAACCCACACAGGACCAAGGCCTCCCAGGGACTGTTCAGGAGGACCCCGACTTGGGAGATGGTCCCCATCAAGGCACAGGTCTGGATGAAGGGCCCAAGGACACTGCAAAGGCTGGTGTGGGAGATGGGGTCCCTGTGGGCTGTGGGCTGACACTGTGTTCCCTTCCTGGCAGAGTTTCTGCCTCTACGCAGATCATGAAGGCCCTGATGGGCACCAAGCAGGGCCGGCCCAGCAGCCTACCGGAGCTGTCAGGCCCGATGGCCCAGAGGCTCAGCCGGTCGGCCGAGGCACTCGTCACCTGCCTTGCCAGCCTGCGCTTCTTCGATGGTGCCTGTGGGGCTCTGGCAGACACAGGGAGGCTCAAAGATTCCCCTCAGTACCAGGAGCTGCTTGGGCTCTTCCAGGGACTGTGGCCAGGCTGTGACCTCGGACAAGGTCCCGTGGACCCAGATCTCAAGGCCCTGCCAATCACCAAGGACTTCACGCCCACCTCTTCCTCCGGGGTGGACGTCAGCAGTGGCTCCGGAGGCTCAGGGGATGGCGGTGTGCCCTGTGCCATGGAGGCCGCCCCGGGTCCTCAGCAGATGGAGCAGTCCCTGCAGATCTCCTCCCAGAGGCCCAGTTCCAGCAGTTCAGGGCACCCGGAGCACAGGGAAAACCCTCAGCAGAGCTGTTCCACGGCCTCCTCTGGCTCCCCAGTGCAGGAGGAAGCCAGGAGCAGCAGCAGGGAGCAGACATCGGACGATGATTTGGAGCAACTGGACAATAACCCAGAGCCGTCTGTTGAAAACAGGACGCAGGAGGAGAGGGGACCAGCAGAGGAATCAAAAGAAAGGGAAAGACCCCAAGAGGAAGGTGTCCAGGAGGAAGGGCTTCCAGAAGAGGCCAGGGTCAGTGGTGAGGAGGAAGACACAGGCAGGAACCCTGATCCTATAGCGCTGGGTCTCCTAGGAAGAACAGAGGAGCCCACTGAGTGCCATCTCAACGAGGGGGATGCAAACACCTGTGAGAGTCCCAGTAACCCCAGCTCAGAGCCTGGTCTGGAAGCCCAGCCCAGGGCAGCAGTGCTAGGCTGGGAGCAAGCCCGGGCCCAGTCCACCCCGGAGCCTGGGGTGATGAGCCTATCTGGGACTCAAGCAACATCTCTGGACCCCGACCCTGTGTGGGTGTCCAAGCTGCTGAAGAAGATGGAGACAGCCTTCATGGCCCACTTGGCCAGTGCCTTGTCTGAGCTCCAAGCCCGCTGGAGCCTGCAGGGCGACAACCTGCTGGACCACATGGTGGCCGAGCTGCAGCAGGATGTGGGCCAGCGGCTCCGAGACAGCACTGACAAGGAGCTCCAGAAGATCCAGAGCCGGGCGGGGAGGACTGCGCTCAGAGGACAGGCGTCCCTGCAGACTGAGCAGCGCCGGCGCTGGCTCCAGGGCCTGCGCAACTTCTCAGCCTTCCCTGAGCAGAACCTTGCTGGGGAGCCCCAGTTCCTCACCCTGGAGGACAGGCCCAGCCTCAGCGCAGTCTGGGGAGCCGGGCCAGGTGGGGGCGCCGAGGGGGATGAGTTCTGTCCCTGCGAGACCTGTGTGAGGAAGAAGGTGACTCCCAAGTCCCGGAAGGCCACCACAGGGGCTACCAGTGCACCTATCAAGATAGCCTTTGACCTACGGCAAATTCTGCAGCAGAAGAGAGAGGAGGCAGCAGAGGGGACCCCCAAGAGAATAGGGACCGAGCGGCTTCAGGAGGACCACCCTGACCAGGGACCTGACGGAGAGCAGGAGCTGGGCTTGGGCCCAGGGAACCAGAGGCAAAGCAGTGACCCCAGTCTCAGGGAGGCAGAGGGAGCTGGTGAGCAGGAGAGGGAAGAGGAAGCCGAGGGGTGGGAGAGAGGAAAGAGAACCCCAGCCAGTGTGGGCAGTGCCCCGGAGGAGGTGGCCGAGGGGCTGGAGCCTTGCCCGGCTGAGCAGGAAGGAGCCGCCAGTGAAGGCTCCAGGGATGGGGATGCTCCGGAGGCTGCAGGACAGAGAAATGGTGCGGAGGACACAGAAGGACACCCACAGTCTGAGGCTGGACGTGACAGCGAGGAAGAAGGTGGCCCTGGAGCTAGCACAGCACAGGAAGGCGGAGGAGAGGCTTCTGGACACAGCAGCCTAGACCAGGAGGGGAGGCCCATGACACCCCCTGCCCAGGCTGAGGACACCCCCCACCAAGGGCCAGGCTCCCAAATGTCCCTGGGCAGCTGCTCCCAGGTCTCTCAGAAGGACTTGGAGGATCAGTCAGGCAGAGAGCTTGGGTGCCCGGAGTCCCCACAGGCAGAGGGGAAGGTGGCCATCGTGGATCCGGACAGCTCCACCTCTGAGGAGGGAGGGCCCCCTTCGGGTCCAGGGACTCCAGAGCCGGGAGCAGGTGAAGGCTGCTCCGCCCTCGGACAAGACCAGGGGGCAGCTAGAGGCTGTGCGGGCTCCCCTGCAGGGGACGGGGCAGGTGGCTTTGGCGAGGATATCTTAGATTTCTAGACATTAAGCAGCAAGACAAGGACCAGTGTGGGAATCATTTTGATATTTTGTCTACAGACTCTGCACGGTTCGGGCCAGGGGTCACTGCAAGGAGCAAAGGCTGTCAGGGAGGATTTGCCAAGGGCACAGGTCGCCCCTGGCTATCCCTGGGCCCAGGACAGCCCCACCACCTGCCACGCAGGGGACAAGGGGCCTTGGAGCGGGTCTGCCACGCCCTGGGAAGCCGGTGGCCCTTGCTTCTCTGTGGGCCCAGGTGGGTGGCTGCCGCAGGCATGCACGGGGCGCCGTGGGGCAGCTCCTTTGAGCAAGGCTGCGCTCCTCCTTTCCCCTTGATCTGCTGTTTGCTCTTCTTGGCTTTGCCTGGCGCTCACCTTGTTCGACTTTGAAGGGCTTTTTGCTGGTCATGAATACATTTGGCGACTGCAGATGTGGGCCCTTGGGAAAAGCAGGTAATGGCAGGGTCATTAGAGGAGCTGTGTTCTCAGTCCCCAACTCAGTGTTTTCCCCTAATTTATATTTAATTCTTTGCAATGGGAAAAATGCAAGCTCAGTAGATAAATAAATAAGCAAAGGGGGAAGAAGGGGAAACATAAACAATTCCACCCCCCAGACATAGCTTCCATAGCAACTTGGCATGCGCCCTTCCCACGGTTTTATAAGCATCTATAGTTAGGATTGTTCTTCACATAACATTTACATACTGCTTTAAAAAAAAAAGCTTGACTGTATACGAATTTTCCCCATTTATCATAAACCTTTATTTTTTAATTGGAAACTGAGCTCAGATCCTTCACACTGAACTACATCCCAGCTCTTTTAATTTTTTGAGACATGGTCTTGCTAAGTTGCCCATGCCGGGTTTGAATTTGTGATCTTCATACCTCTGTCTCTCGTGTAGCAGGGATTACAGGCATGTTCCTCTGTGCCAGGCTCTAAACTTATTTTTTAATACCTGAAGAAAATTCCAATTTGAGAATTTAAAAACTTTATTTCACCATTTTCCTACTGTTGACTCTACGTTTCTATTATTTTGTTCTAATAATTATTTCCCCCTAAATTCTGGTAGATTCCCAGGAGGCATGAAATTATTGGGTCCCAGAAGATCAATATCCTTCTGATTTTTCATAAACATAATCACTAAATTATATCACCTGGCCCTTCACATACCTATCAGTATTTGGTATTGTCACTGAAAATGAGAAATTGTTTGCTAATTTTATGGGCAAAAAAGAACTTCATTTTAATGTGGTACTATTTTAGATATCTTTGATTACTAATGAAATTTAATGTTTCCCTACGGTTTGAAGAAACATTTGCATATAAATTATAAGTAGATGCCTTTAATCCATTTTTCTACTGAGTTCTTAGCTTTATTTTTTTAATGAGTTGATTTGTATGTACCCTTTGTCATTTTTAAAAATTACATGTATTATTTTTGAGATTCAAAAATTACCCTGTCCTAACATTCCAGAGCCAGCCTGGGACTGGGTCTGCCTGGGTAGGGAGCTCCTGGGTGGACGGAATCTTTTTGGATGGTTCTCACCCCTTCCCTGTTGGACAGGGGATTTTGATATCCAGATTCTTGAAAAAGGAAATCAGAGCCTCATGAGCAGGTTTGGTTCCTGGTTGTTTCAGAGCAGCCGCGACGGCTGGATGCTGTCTGTTGCATCTGCAGTGCTCACTCCACAGATGGAAGAGCTGTTTTTAATATCTGCAGAGGTGATGCTTTAAAGTTTTTACAATAAAAGCAGAAGGCGATGCGTATATACCTGTGTATGGCTTTATGTCTGTTTTGGGTGGAGGGTGTTGCCAGCTGTTGAGTTAGCTCTGACAATCTGCCTGTGTCAACTGTCTGAAAAGTTGGTGGAGATGATGCACTCATGGGCCACTAATCCAGCAGAGCGGGAGAATGACATCTTAGCTGGAAGCCACAGAGAGACAGGCGGTGCTGTGAACTGTCTGGATGTGGTGACACAGAGTGCCCTTGGCACTGCACCCAGCAGGCACCTCTGCTGTGATTTGAGGGTCCAAAGTCATCCCCCAAAAGACTTATCAGTGCCCTTGTTTCGCTGCCTGTCACCTCCTGCAGTGCCAGGGGCCGCTAACCTGCACTTCATGAAATAGCATCATCTGTCTCTAGTTGAGATTGCGCGGGGGAGGGAGCAGGCCAGCAGGTTCGAGCAGCAGGGATGGCACCTCAGCTTTAACTCCTGTGAAATGGGTCAGGTGACACAGGCCCAACAGCACACGGGCGCCTGGAAATGCTGTGCTTCAGCTAGAACTGCTCTGAACCCGACGTGTACTGTGCCTCAGGTTCCATCCTAGGTTTTCACAGAAACCGTGCAGTGTATTCTTCCCAACACCTCCGTCAAGCAGGCAGGCAGGTGCCATCATACCCCCCTCACAAATGAGGAAACTGAGGCATGGTGGAGATAACATAAACCCACCTGAGCCCACACAGCTGGCTAGGATAGAGCCAGGGTTTACGCTCAGCTATTTCGGACTCTCACGTCCACATTATTTCCACTGTGTCTTTTTTTTTTTTTCCCCCATTTCAGATCAGGTCTGTGAATAAGTAACTTGGCTAAAGGCGGTCAGCACTCCTCTGAAGGAATTTAATGCAAAATAATGGAGATTTAGGGAAGTAAATCCAGTGGGATTTTCCACTCAGCTGATGGCGCTTTGTGCTCAGTAGTGATCTGCCTCTAGGCAGATGTGAGGAGCAGGCGATAATAAGGCTCTAGGAAGAGGAAGAATACTTATCTAACCCCAGGATTCACCTCTTGGTTATAAACTCATCTGCCTTAAGCCCTAAACATTTCTGCCTTTTCTATGTAAAACATTTGCTGGTAATGGGCAACTTTGCGCTTCCTTCTGACTTGGAGATAAGGGGTTTGGGGCGCAGCTAAGGTGGGGATCATAGAGCTCCTCTCCAGCATTGTGCTTGCCGGTTTATCGTGGCTCAGCCTTCTTAAAAGCCTGGCATACAGGTCACCTTAGCCACTTCCCAAATTTCCCCTCAAGTCATGGGTCACTGCAGATGCTAGCCAGGTGCTTCCGGTCTCAGTGCCAATCCTTTTTGCTCCCTGAGGATGGAGGAGGAAAAAAATCCTTCATCCTGTCCTTGCTGTCCAGCTGGTGGGAATCAGAGATTCCAGCCCACCTGGACCACACCCTTTCAGTGGCTGAGCAGCACAGCCCAAGGCTGACTTGGCTGGTCTGGTCAGGGCTCCACCCTGCTCCTTCCAGAGCTTCCAGATGTATAGGATGTCTGGTTGTAATTGGTCCCTCGTCCTCTGGAAGAGGCATCTCTGGGAAGAGCTCCCACAGCTGTGTCAGTGGTCAAGCCCAGACATCAAGTCTTTTCCCACCTCTCACTTAGCACCTTTCATCCAGAGCTCAGAGAGGCCCTGCGGGTAACAGCACACAGCACAGCCTGTGCACCGCTCTTATGGGTCTCTGCTGCCCTCCTCACCTAGAGCCCTGCGTCTGAGTGTCCCCGAGGCTGGCATTGTCTCCACGGGGTCCCTCTGATGAGGTCAGGGAGAGGTGACCTGCACTCAGGCTCAGAGAGTCCTCACACTAGCGGGAGTCTGGAGTGTAGGCTGGGGCTTGCTAGGGAGGTTTGTGAACAAACCATGGCCATTATGTTCCCTTCAAGGTAGCAGAGTTAGCAGATGCCGAGAGCTCCATGAGCACTGACAGTGCTGCTGCAGGAAACCCTGGCCCCTGGGAAGAGGCAGGGCCAGAAAGCAAGTTCAGCAAACAGTTGGGGGAACTGGGCTTAAACCTCTAATGCCCAACTTTGCCAGATGTACCTTCTCCCCCGCAGGACTGGGGCTCCTTGGAGACGATGAACAACTCTAACCAGCCCAGTCCCACCAAGTACGCCTGCCCCTGCTCACATGCATACGCATGCACATGCCTGCACACTCCAATAAGTGTGCAACTCACACAGATTCATCTCTCATGCATGCTCCTCCATGTAAGCATATGCAAACACAACACACACACATACAAACACCTAGGTGCACACTCACAGGGCTGTCATGTGCATGCATACTCACATGCACACTCATACTAACATGTGCAATAAACACAGGCTCCCATAAGGACATGTACATGCAAGTGTGATGTACACATATGCACACATATGCACATATATGCATGTTCACATCCACATGTGCACAGATGTACATATTTGTGCATGCGCGAGCATACACACAGAGTCAGCTTTCTTGCTGTCCCTCACTGTATGGTGTCCCCAAGGAACAGCGAGGGTCAACCAAGTCAACCTTTCTCCATCTTGGTCTCCTGAGAGGCAATTAGGGGGATAAAGTTCACTCTCCTTCCCTGACCCACTCTCCCGCCCCCAAGTCCAAAGGCCTGAGAGGCCAGGTTCCTGGGGTCTGTGTAAAGGGGGTCACCTAGGATCCCCAGGCTGGGCTGCCAGTCCCCTGAGCTCATTCCATTTCACTGCTCAGACCTGTTTCATGCCCGGTGCTGGGTGTGACCCAGGGCTACCCCTGGGAAGTGATGGCTCCTGCCTGAGCCCAGCCCACTAGGGGTGCCCAGGGGAGCACTGTCCCTCAGAAGCCAGTCCCTGCTTCCCCCCTGAGAGGGGCCTGCAGCATCCACCAGAGCCTGCACCCAGCTGCATCTCCTGGTTCCCAGGCTGTGAAACCTGGCTGGGGTCCTCAGAACCTGTGCAGGGGTCTGCAGCTGAAACAAACCCCGTGGGTATGGGGGTCCACTGGCCACTGCCCTCCTGCCCCTTTCTGGGAAGTATTTTTTTTTTATCTTGCTCACTGCTCCATGAGCCTGAGACCTCAATGACTGCCATCCTTTCCCAGATGCCAGGAATTTTTCCATCTTGGTCACCAGGGACTAAGTGGCCAGCACACCCGATGACACCTGCCCCATCTCGGACCACTTTCCTTTCCTGCCCCCTCAGCCTGGCTCTGGCTCTCTGCAGAGGAGATGCAGGCATCCATCACTCCCTCTGCCCTCAGTTTCCCAAAGATCCTGTCCTTACTCCTGCTGCTTCTGCGCCTGCCCAGGTCCTCCCCAAGCTCCCAGGCACTGTCCTGAGGGACACCAAGGGCAGGGCCACCTCTGCCTGCTCCTGGACCTTCCTTAGAGAAACACCTTGGGTCCTCATTCACCTATAACTCACCATCCAGAGTCAAAGCCATCTGGAGAGGCTGACTCTCCGGCCAGCTGGCTCCACTCCTTGCCCTCCTCTGCCCTTTCTCTCCTTTCCTTTGCTTCCTCACCTTGCCATGTCACCGCAGGAATGAGCTCAGAAGCAAGCTCTGAGGAACAGGTATCTACCCCCAGAGCACCGCCCATTCCTGCCTACCCCAGCACTCACAGGCCACCCCAGCCTGGACTCAGTGGTCAGGCTCTAGAGAGGCCCTAGTCCCTTCCTTACTCCAGTGCCCCCAGGTTTACACTCATCTGGCCCCAGTACCCTGCCCCTCTTTTGTGCCAAACACCCAGTGCCTCTCCCCGCCTGGACTGGAAGCCTCTGTTCTGTGCAGAACACAGCCCCTTTGTGAGCCCAGTGCTGGAACCACTGGGAATAGCCTGGGTGCCCTGACTGCTGCGGGACGCAGCCCCGGAGGCTGGAACTGGGAGCTGGTGTCTCCCCAGAGGCACAGGCCTGCAGCTGGCCTCCCTCTTCTACCCTCCATGTAGGATGGTTTGTCCCAGATGGCATCCCAGTATCCCAGGCTGGTTTATTGCTGAGGTGATAAGCCAGGTGACTTCTCAAAGCTCCATTTATTATGCAATTCCTGGGAGGGACCCACTTGAGGACGGACGCTGGTTGGCTGCAGGCAATGGAGAGGTGGAAAGGTGAGAGTCTGAACATGACTCATTTTCCGGGACAAGCCTGAGCCCACATCCAATTTCATTCTGCTCCAACACAGTGGCTTGTCCTTGTCCTGTGAGAGACAGGCCCGACTAGACAGGCAGCTCTAAGCAGTGTTAGGACCTGGGGAAAGACAGTGCTTTATAAGCCACGGTCATGGTGGTGCAAGCCTGTAATCCCAGCACCGTGGGAGGCTGAGGCAGGAGGACTGTGAGAGGCAGGAGGACTGTGAGTTGAAGCACAGCCTGGGCAATGTAGTGACTTAGTCAGACACTGTTTCAAAATAAAAAAATAAAAAGGGTTAAGGACATAGCTCAGAGTGAAGGGCCCTCTACTCAATCTGGTCTAATCTGCCGTCCAGTGCCAAGTCTATGAGAGAGGAGACCATTGTCCCATGCTCCCCTTCTTTTGGTACCTGCTCCTGCATCCCTCCCTGGGGCGCACTGGTCAGGGACACTACCATTCAGATGGACACATCAGACAGCAGAACAGTGGTCCTGCTCCGTGTTCCCAAGGACAATGGTGACAACAGAACCCCAAGGTGTTGGTTGAGGAAACTGGGGACAATGGAAGTGGCCTTAATGGCAACTGTGACTACAGCAGCAAAAGGGCCAAATGTCCAAGCTTTCTTGACAGGTGGCAGCTGAGGCATGCAGCTCCTCCAGGAGGCAAGAGCTAGAGAGGAGCAGGTCAGTGGTCATGAGCTGAGGCTGGGTATGAGGTGCTGCAGGGTAAGGGAGATCCCTAAAAGCAAAACTGCAGATAGGTCATGAGGTGTGCATACATGTGCAGGTACATGCATGTGTGTGAGTGTGTACATGTGTTGTGTGTGATATGTGTGTACTTTTATGTACACGGAGATGTATTAGTCAGCTTTTCCATTGCTGGGAC